GGGAGGGTATAGCTCTAGTGGTAGAGCACATGCTTAGCATGCATGGTTCAATCCCCAGTACCTCCTCTAAAAATAAATAAATAAATAAACCTAATTACCTCCCCTCCAAAATGAAATAAATAAATTTAAAAATTAATGTATAAAAAAGCAAAGGGAGGGTGAATGCTGAGGTTGATAGCTATTAAAGTGGTCTTGACATCAAAACTCAACGGGTGGTATCAAGGTTAGTAGTTAGACATTTCGGCATGACTCCTACTAGGAAAGGGGTACTTATGTTCGTGGTTGTATTTTTAGTGGGTACATGGCATTTTTTGCTTCCTAGCATCCATTATTCCTGCTTCTGGTGACAGCACCACAATTTTCCTCTGGGAGAAATCAGTCCATCTGATCCCAGTGGGATGACTTACCCCTAGCTTCAGAAATGGGCCAATCAGAGCTTTCCATCTCCACGGTTACAGGGACGCGGTCAGAAATAGGCCAGTGAGAGCCCTTCCCAGGACCTTTCCTGGAACAATGAGGGAAGAGACAAGCTTTTTCCATTGGATATTCAAGATTTGCTGGAAGGGGGTCTAGAGCTTCTGAAAGATACTACATGGGATCAGTGTCTGTTCCAGCTACTGTTGCTGTGTAACAAACTACCTCAAATCTTAGTGGCTTAAACGTTAATCATTTTTTATCATATCCCCTGAATTCTGTAGGTCAGGATTTCATTTAAGGCTTGACTGGGCAATTCTACTTTTTATAACCTTGATTTGAGACCACTCAGTGGCACTCATCTGGTAGATGAGATGGTTTGGTCCGGAGGGTCCAATACAGCTACACTCCCATGATTGGTGCCTTGGTGGTGAGGGCTGAAAGGCTGGGCTCAGCTGAGACGCCTCACCAGAACACCTACACCAGGCCTCTCCAGTGTAGGGAGAGCTGCAAAGAATTTCTGGCCATATTTAATCCACCACAGTATGACAGCTGGATTATGTTAGATGGGGACATTTTTTAAATTAATGTGTATATAGGAAGCAGGATGTGTGTGCCAGGCAGGCAAAGCCAGAGTGTTCTAGCATGTTCTCACTGAAGAGCATATGATTGGAGAGGGATATCCACAGTGGGTCCTCTGAGCTGAGGGTGCCCCATGACAAGGTCTGTACTAGATCACAGATTCCCAGGGGGCAACTCTGAGTTGAAGGCTTGCTGTGTCTGAGTGACTTCACCTTTCTGAGCCTCGGTTTTTTCCTCTGTAAAATGGGCATGATCATCCCAGCCTCGCAGATCAGCTGTGAGGCTGAGGATGAGATGACCATGAATGTGCTTTGTAAATGACAGCACACTCTCCACGTAGGACTGAACATTGTCATCTGAGATCTGAGAAGGAATAGTCGAGGTGGGCCTGGGTGGTCAGAGAGGGTAGGAAGGAGGAGACCGAGATGGAGCATTGAAAGATGGGGACATTCACACAGGTGGGGAGGCAGGGCTGTGTTTCAACATGGGCAGCTGAAGAATAAAACTATAAAAGCATTGAGTTGGAAAAGTGACAGACTGTATCTGGGACAGGGAGGAGAGCGACAAGGTCAGAGAATAAGCTCTCCCACTGCTGGAAACTCTGGGTCTCTAGGCTCCCATACGCACTAGGTCAGCAGCCCCTGAGGGTCACTCAAAGCTGCACTTAAGTCCTCCAGTCTCCAGGAATCATCCATGGCCTGTCCCTACCAAGGCCTGCAAAGGCCCCTGTGGCCACAGGGGGGCGATGATGGGAGCATGGGAGAGTGGTCAGAGAGAGAGAGAACACCTTCCTCTGGAGCCACTAGCATTAGGTCAGACCCCTCCCAGTATTCCCAAGCTTCTGTTCCCTCAGCAGGGTGGGGACCCCTGGCCATAGGCTTGGGTCACAGATGGCCTGGCTAAACTGGGCTCCAAGCCCCTCGATTCCCTGGATAGGGGTGGGGGTGATTGATGGGTTTCCAGTGTGTTCCAGGCAGGGGTTTGGAGCTGCTGCAGACTAGCCTGGCCTGCAGAAGCCCCAGATGGCCACTCGTGGCTGAGGCTGACCCATCTAGGCCAGGCCCTGGACAGTCCAGATCTCTGGCCACCTCCCAAGTCCTGACTATCCTAAGATCCTGGCTGCAGAGAGCAGCAGCCTCTCCCTCAAAGGAGTCCTGAGAGCAGGGGATGGGAGTGGGCTCAGATTCCAGCCCTGCGCGGCTTACAGCTCAGTCCCACCTGGGGACAGGAAGGGATTCTTTGATGGGGGGAGATGGGAGGAGATGAGGAAGTGGGGCACCGATGGCTGGGTCACAATCAGCACACAGGGATTCTAGCTTACGGTTAATCAGCCCTGTGCCAACCATGACAATACCCTCTGGCCATTTGGGGCTGGGTAAGTGGGGGCCTCAGTGTGAGTTCTGGGCAAGGAGACCCAGGCAGGAATCGTGGCCTGAAGGGCTCTTCTTTACCAAGCCCTCCCCACATAGGCTTCCCTGTCTCCCACACAGGAGAAGAGAGGGGTGCAACTGGGGGGCTGGGGAGGCCTCTTTCACACACCCTGCGGTTCCATGGAGAGGAGGCCTTGGAAAAGAGCAGATCACCCTGACCTTGACCTCTGATCCTATGGTTTACCTGCACCCACTTTCCTCTCCTGTCTACCTGGTTCTCCTTAGCCAGCCTCGGTGGGCACGTGGCTTCCCTGGCCTGCCTCCTGATCTCTGGCAGCAGGACTTTTTGGAGCTGTCATTCTTTCCTTTCTCTCCTCCCTGCAGTGTTTGTTGTCAGCATCTTACCAAACCTTGCAAGAGCTGGTGGGGGCCTCGGAGCTCGCTCAGTCCAAACTCCTGTTGCACAGGTGGGGACACTGATGTCCAGGGTCACTTGGGTTGTTACATGTCTAAGATCACACATCAGAGTCAGCAACAGAACCAGGACTATGCTTTTGACTCCCAAGATCCTGTTTTTTGCCTGTCCTTTGAACAGGCTATTGTGGCTCAGCCTCTGTCTGTCTGTCTTCCTGCCTGTCTGTCCTTGGACCGGCAGAGTTCTTATGGGCTTCACTCAGTTCAGACTTTGCCTTCAAAACTATGGCTGGAGCTGCTTCATGGCTTGGCTCTGACAATACATGAACCAGACTGGGTCTAGCTACAGGACCTATGGCCAAGAGCTGGGGGCCAGGAAGGAGACCAGGCTCCAGGAGAAAAAGCAGACCAGCTCTGTGCCCCACATCTGCTTAAGGGCTGTCACCGTGCAGCATCTTTCCTCTACCCATCCACCTGTCCCCCATCAGCTCCTGTCCAGGGTGACGCTCAGAGCTCCTCAACCCTTGCTCACACACACACACACACACGTTCACACAAAGAGAAAGAAACAGACAGCATACACACAGGCGTATACATACAGAGAAAAGCACGGACACACGCAAGCACATACAGCTCTCTGGATGAGGGTCTGCACTTCCATCCAAGACTATTTCCTCTGAAAGCATGGACATGTCACCTCCCTCTGGCATCTCAGTATCCAGCCTAGAGCCTGCCCGTTCTGGGAGCTCAATGGAGGTGTGTGGAAAGAGTGAGCTGACACTGGTGCAGAGGGCCACGAGGGCCAGGCCTCTGCCTCCAGGCCCGGGCATGAGGCAGAAGGCCCAGCCTGGGCCATGTGAGCCTGGGACGTGAGGCAGACCTTGACAACTTCTGCTGTCTCCCTAGTTCACTCTCTCCTCATCTTCTGCCTCCAGCTGGGACTATCTCCTTGTGTGGTCCATGAACCAGCCCCCTCAGAATCACCTGGGAGCCTGTTAGAAATGCAAGGTCTTGGGCCTCACCTCAGACCTGCTGAACTAGAAAGTCTGGGTGCGGGGCCCAGCGTCTGGCTTAACAAGCCCTCCAGAGGATTCTAATGCATGCTGAAATTACAGAGCTGTTGCCTATGACGGCAGGCGGACTCACGCTGGGAGGGAGGAGGGAGAAGTCTGGAAAGACATGCAGCTGCTTGCACCACCTATGGGCAGGGCTGCCGTCCATCGCTGGTGGGTGCCCATACCTGAAGTCAGACACGCTCACATGCGCATATGTATGAGCATCTGGCAGGACCGCAGAGAATCCACATGCAAGGGCTCCTCTGGGGTCCAGTGGGTACAGGCAGGTACCCAAATGGAAGTAGGAAGGGGTAGGGAAGAACTGTTCTCATCCTCTGCCCCTCATTCCTCTGTCCCTTGTCCTTCGGACGTTCCCTGAGTGTTCCCTCAGCGGCCAGAGAAGCTAAGGCGTTGCCCAACTCAGATCAGGCACTCCCAGCTGAGAGGCCAGGTGACCTGTGTGCCTAAGAGAGTCTGGGGTATGTGCTAAGGCCAGCAAAATTTTTCCTCTGCATGGGCGGGCCAGGGCCAGGGGAATGCAGGGGATCAGCAAGCAAAGCTTAGGCAAGAGCATACCACCCCCTGAGCCCTGAAATGCTGCCCAGATGTAGAATTCCCCTCGGCCCCTTCCCAGGGCTGCTCCCAGCGCCCACCCCGCCTCCCCACCCATCCCTCTGCTCTGGCAGTTGGAGCCCCAGGCAGCTGCCCACCTGGCCCCTCCCCAGGCCCTTCGGCATCTCCCCCTGAGGATCTGGAAGTGAGATCCAGACCTCTGGAGGCTACAGGGGATGTGGGGAGGGGAGTGGGAGGCCGAGCTTCCTCAGGCTCAGATCTGGTTTCACTGCTGCTTCCCGTGGCGCGCTGCCACGGGCTGAGCCACCAGCTGTGCTATATAAGGCCCGGTGGCCGGACCGCTGGAGAGAGGAAGACGTGGACCCCCCAGCTGAAGAGTCCCGCTCAGGACACGGTGAGCCCCACTCCTGCTCTCCTCAGCCCATCCCTGCACCCCACTGCCCGGCTCAGCTCTTCCTGCCCTCCCCTGATCACCCCGCATCTTCCCCTTCCTGCTCAGGAGTTCTCTCTTTTCCCTCTTTGGCCCACAGTCTTCTCCCTCCTCCACCTGGGGTCAGGGACCCTCAGATGGTCCCAGGCAGGGGCTCTGTACCTCTGGGCGCTGTGCTTTTTTCCTGCGGTCAGCCAGTCGTCTTTGTCCGAGAGCTCTGAGGTCCACGGGATGGGGAGTCTCACCAGCAGAGGATATGCTGAGGAAACTTCACTGGGCTGCCAGATGGGAAATGGTTTTTCCATAAGGTGCCTCAGCCACCTTGGCCTCCCAGACAGTCCCGGGTGGGTCCTGGACTGAATGCTGTGCATGTCCGCGGAGCCTGCAGCTCTGCTCAGAGCCCGGGAGCCTGGGGTAGGATACGCAAGGGCTGGAGACCTCGGGGACCCTGGCGCTCTGTCCCCTTGGCTGAGAAACAGGTGGTGACGGAATTAGTGGGCTTAGAGCTGGATGGTCTGCAGGGTGGGATTGCTCTGTTCCCTTGGGACAGCTAAGTGCTTTTGAATCTTTCTTCCAGAAAGGAGGGATCTCCCTTTTCCCACCACACCCTGGACTTTGGAGGTTGAAGGAAACCACTTTCGAATCTCCGGGAACTAGTCAGATTCTGGGTTGGCCAGAGCTCTGGGGAGAGAGAACACTGAGCAGGAGCCTGGACCACTCCCTGTGGGTCCTTGCTCTATTGCCTCTCCCTGCTCCTGCAGCCCCCAGCCCGTGCTCAGCAGTTACTGGGGGGCCCTGGCCTCTCCCAGTGCACGCCCCCTGCTCTCCCTAGCAGGCTCCTGGCTGTGTAACTCCCAGCCAGGCCCCAAACAGGCCAGAAATGTGTTCCAGCTGCAGCCTGTGCACATCTGGGAATGTGTTCATGGAGGTGGTGTGTCTGAAGCATCTGCACCCTCCATCCTGCCTGCCTTGTGAGGGGCCCTGCTGTTCGGGCGGGGGTTGCACAGCTT